GGTGAAGTAATTCTAAGTATACACCTAACAATTCTTATATTCACACTCAGTCACCAGTTGCTACACTACTGAGTACTCTATGTGGATTTCCATTTAAGTCAGCAAATATAATTCTTCAAAGTAAGTTGCACAAGGACAAAAATATTAAATGTAACAGTTATGTGCCAACCTTTGGACGTCAGATTAAAGAAAGATAAACAACTGAAATGACACATACTGTATAAAAAATAAAGTTTTTAATACACTCTGATTTAAATAGGAGATGGAACCTTAAAATACCTTCAACACGGTAAATACAAAGGCTGCTGCCATGAAGTAAATTATGAGCAGGGACAACATACATATGTATAGATATATATAATTGATTCAATAAATCTCTCATTCATATCTAAAATATGTGACTTATGACTAGTCTATCTTTATCTGTATTCCTATTATTATTAATTAGAAATGTTCACATCTCCACTCTCTGCATATACAGTACTTTATTTTGAATACACACAGTGCATTTATATATTATAAATATAGCATCATCATCTATCATATTCAGATTTCTTTAGCACACTAAATGCACGCAGAACATTAATGGCCTTTTATAAATACAGTTATAATGTATTGTTCAGAACAAAATATTTTATAATTTTTAACTTGTGCCAGGCTGTATTCTCACTAAAGTAACCTACTTTAAATATTAATGGCTGTATGCTACCTTTCGTCACCTGCAAACTTATCTGATGCACTTTGTCTCAGAAATCTCATGTGAGTATCTACCTATGGGGTATTTATTAGTCTAAATACACTAAGGTCATGAGTATAGTGTGCTTCTGTCTGGCCGAGTAACTAAACACACTTTATTGATAGAAACGTAGACGTCAATGAAAAAAAAATAAAATAAAAATAACACAAAGACTGGATGCTGAGTTTTGCTGGATGTCTTTAACTAAATGGTTAGGTATGTACACAATCCATTTGATAATAAAGTAGACTTGTCAGCTCAATTTTAAAATAAAGGAAAGAAATTAAGACTACCCCATACTCCCCAGTGTCAGCTTAGTTTAATGATTAATAAAATAATTATTTTATTATAGTACAAGAAGTGAGACCTCTCCCCAAAATGAATACTGGAATTAGACTTTAGGTTAAAAAAAAGTCTCAGCATGTAAAATATTACAGCATCATTTAAAGAATTTGCAGCTGAAGTAATGCAGAATTAACCTTTCTTAAATTACTCTTCACAGGGAATGTGAACAGGTTGATGTATCAGGCACAGTAGCCTGCACAGGTTAATTTCACCTTCACAGAATTTAAAGGCAAGGACACAGCCATGAGGTGGCAGCTAGTTAGTAGGGGCTGGTTAATTCATTTCATATTATGCAGTTACAGACAATCCCCAACAAAGTAATTGTGAAATTGTGATAAACAGAGAATGCAGTGATTTGACTGGCTTTAAACTGAGTTAGAAACCCCCTACTGAATATAATAAAACAAGGGGAAGGGACAATGAGATGTACATTTAGAGATGTACAGATGCTCTCTCAATATGGTAGTGCTAATAAAAAATGCATTTTAAAGTAATTTCAATTAATATAAACAATTGAATATTTCTGCTTATATTCTAGCACCACTGGTTATATGGCCATAAACCTGAAAACATAAATCATATCCAATTAATGACTTATTTGAATCTGAACCCAAAATCCCATTCTTTCCCCTTTCTGCAATTTTCTGCAGCAGAATTAATAATAATGTTTTAAAGGTTTGTCTAGATACTTACATTGATGTCTTCCAAATCCAGATTGTTGAGCTCTACATTGTTACGCTTCCAAACAATGGGTGGTCTTTGTGTTCCCTGAATAGCACATGCCAGGACTGCACTTTGACCTACGGTTGCTGTAGTGATGCTCACTTTCTGGTCTTCAGGTATACTCAGCTGAAGGACCTCTGTAAACAGTTAGAAATAGTTTGTTTTGTGCTGTATGGTGAATTTAGTCATTTTTATTCAATACAAGACCTGGTAATATAATTAAAAACATGAAAAAGTAAAAAGACATTAGCTGATTTTTACATTCAGT